ATATGCATTGAATGAGTGACTAAACACCAGAGGTTGCAGTCCATCGGGTGAATATAAATATATCGGATATACTCTCTTGTGTGTAATTCAAGTGTCCACATGCAAACATATCCATACAAAGCCATAGCTGCACACATACCAACATTAGTATTCAACAAACCCCGATACGCAGCCATAAATACCGACAAGAAGGCACTGGCCGTGCGCAATGCGAAAACAGTTCAAACCTACATATGTGCTGAGGGTTGGTGTAGACGGGTCATATATACAAATATACGTACACAGCCAACCCATAGAACGTACAGAATTTTAAAAACCTATGCCGATAGGCACCAATTGGACATACCATGGAAAGTACAGAACTTTTAAAACCCATGCAGATAAGCACCAATTGGACTTACCACCACACGCAGCAGTTCGTTGTGCGAGTAAAATCCAAATCTAATTAGGGCCTCTAACAAGTCCAAATTGGCTAAGCCCAGGGCAGCCGCGTCTGTATTTTTGGTCTTTACTGATTCTGTGAAGGCGTGTCGGTTCTTTGGGGGTACGAATGAGATGTGAGAATGAGGGGATGTAGGTAAAGTGGGGAGAGATTGTATTGGTAGAAGACATACAATGAGGTACAGTGTGCGTGGTGTGTGATGCTTAAGATAATTAGTCATATGGAATATGAATCAAATAAAACATTCATATAAATTATTAATTTGTTAACTACCAATAATAGGAATCACTGATCTTGCAAAATATGAATCTTACAAAGTATCATCTGATTCTGATAGTGGGGTACGCTACAAACGGCTGTAGAAATGGGAATGTCGGAAGCAGAGGGGGATAATCAATACATTTATAATAAACAAGAAATTAAAAAAGTACTCGCCAGTGAATAGTTGAATGTTACAGGCACTAACATCCCTTGAGGGTACCGTTTGCCTTCCGGCGCCTAACCGAATAAACGTTCATGCGTGGCAGCAATCTTTATCTACCTACGGGGAGACAAAACGTTAACCACACGTACGCGTACACTTGGCGTGTGCATACCACGTTCTTGGCATTGGCCGATGAGTCATCCATCTCCAGTACTTGGTCGACGTAGGCTTTGATGCCCATGAGCTTATCCTCCAACTGCCTGTCCTTCTCCTTTGACTCGGTGTTATCGCAGGTGTGTACTGCGCCGGAGGTTTAGTGGTTTGGGATTTTTAAGGTTTAGGGTTTCAGGGTTTCAGGGTTTTGGGGGTTTAGGGGTTTAGGGTATGTGGGTGCAGCTGTGAAGCGTGTCTATACACATGCGCCCGTAAATGCGTAGGGAGAGATGTTGCCAACTGCAAACATGTGACCATATAAAAACGTAAACATACGACCAATGCCTATCTCTCCCACAGCAACGCGTACGTCTGCGTGTGAGTGCATTCGCAGGTGATAACACCGGTCTTCGCTCAAGATGTGACGATGACAGCGACGGGATAGCAGGTGATATGCGTGCATGAACGCACGATAGAGACATTCCAGATACACACACACCAATACACACACATACACAACATACACCATACCTACACATACACCCATACATCTGTACCCCGACTCACCCCCCCACTTACACACCAATACACACACACACAACATACACCATACCTACACATACACCCATACATCTGTACCCCGACTCACCACCCCTACCAACACCTATACACACCAATACACACACACACACAACATACACCATACCTACACATACAATCATACATGTGTATCCGACTCACCACCCCTACCAACACCTATACACATCTCTCCTGTGCGCACGTACAGCCTCTCGCTTCGTCTCACCTTCTGTCTTGCGTAATGGGATGTCGTCGTTCTCCTCTGCCCCGCCCACTTTGATATCGGTCCATATGCGCACCCGTTGGATGGGTGGTATGTTGGTCTGTGGGTCACAGTCCACGTGCAGGTGCAGCAGGAATTTGGCACAAACAGCCCTCAATCTGTACGACAAATCGGGATTGCACACCATGTGCAGAACCATATCGGCAGGGTATTGCTTTTGCAGCTCCTAAAAAAATAGGTTGCAAATCAAAGGGGTTAGAAATTAGGCTTTCATCAAAACCGAAAACGAACACCAGCCGAATGGGCGCGATATGTGCAGTTCATTGCCAAGTATATCCATTCGCCAGCTGCCCAATGGAATAAGCCATTGAGCTACTCAATGGAATAGGCCATTGAGCTGCCCAAAGAAATAGGCCATTGAGCTGTCCAAAGAAATAGGCCATTGAGCTGTCCAATGAAGTAGGCCATTGAGCTGTCCAATGAAATAGGCCATTGAGCTGCCCAATGGAATAGGCCATTGAGCTGCCCAATGAAATAGGCCATTGAGCTGTCCAATGAAATAGGCCATTGAGCTGCCCAATGGAATAGGCCATTGAGCTGCCCAATGAAATAGGTCATTGAGTTCAGTCAAGGCACAGTATCAATCGGCAGACGACAATCGTACACGCACGTGAGTGGAGTGTGTGGGCCACGCAGATAGTACTTACATAATGGATATGAGTGAGAATGTGCCTGAATGGCTACATAATTGATACTATTGAGTATGTGCCTGAATGGCTACATAATTGGTATGACTGATAATGTACCTGAATGGCAACGTATTGCCGACCCAGGCACATGGCACAGAACAACTCCCACTGGGCGATAAGATAGTCCAGTGCACGCTTCCAAGTGTCTGCACTACTGGCGATCATCGCCTGCAGCGACATGGTGGCGCACTCAGCTGTGGGTGGGCCAGTATTAAACGTTAAAAATAAAGATATTTCAAGTTCAAATTAAAGTCAAACCACGGTGACAGTTAAGAACAAAGTTAATGATAAATTTAAACCAAGATTAAGGTTGTAAATTGAAGTAAAGCGCGATATAGAGGTCTCGGGAATACCTATCTCTACACACAAACGAGTAGCCACACGGGAGTGCCTGTGCATATAACAATGTTCCCATAAAGACATGAACCAAGCGTTCAGCTGCTTGGTACTAATTGCGCAGCAAAAACCACCCACCCAACCCAACAGGACCCCAAATCAACAAAACAAAACCTAACCCAGCACGACACGACCCAACACAAAACCCAGCAAAAAAACCCCCCAACAAACCCCAATCCCACATACGTCCATTCCACACATATGAGCTGCTCATGTCCGACAGGCCGTCGGCGCTGTCATCGGCCATGGGCATGCTCAGGTCAATAAGAGAGTCTGACATCAGCGTCATGCCGTCGAGCGGGTTGTTGTCCACCTCCTTGCCCTGCAGCAGCGCACGCTCGTCTCGCGTGGGGTTCCATTTCATCACAATGAGATTGGGATCGTTTTCGGAGCGTTTCAGTGACATGAGCGCGTTGGCGGCGGTGTCGCCCAATACCTGCGAGTGCAAAGGTGTGTGTGTGTGTGAGAGAGAGAGGGATGTGTGGTAGCATAACAGTACCTACGAGTGCAATTGTGTGTGTGAGAGAGAGGGTTGTGTGGTAGGATGTGTAATGGACGATTGGTTTTGGTTTCTGGTTGGTGTGAGTATGGTGTATAAGGGCGTTTGTATGTGTCTATGCAGTTTAACATACATGAGGGGACGTAGGTAGTCAGTAGTGTGTGGATATGAATGTTAAGATGATAGAGAAACGTATACACAATTGAAGCAAAGTACGAAAATGTATGTGTACATTAAATTAAAAGTAAACACAATTGAACTAGTGTATGGCTATGTATGTGTACATAACAGGGGTCTATATATATTCATA